TGGGGACACAGTGGCTGATGTCCCCATGTCCTCTCATGCCCCGAGCTCTACGGTGATGTGCCAGTAGATCTGGGTGGCCCCTTTGAAGCTCGAGGCCACAAGGAAGTGCCGTTGGCCAACGGTGACAGGGACAAAGGCACGGGGGGTGGGCACCAGCAGCTCCTGGGTGGGCTCCAGGTGCCCCTCGGGGCCCAGGCGGAACACGCGGCTCAGGGCGAAGTCGTTGCCCAGCAGGACATAGCGGTGGCCACCCAAGGTCAGTGGCTGGAAGATCATCGACCCCCGAGCCGGGACCTGCTGGATCTCCCGGAACATGGAGCCCTCCCAGCGCATCACCTGGAAAGGGGGGACAGGGGTGGGAGGTGGGTGGGGTGGGAGGTAGGATTGTGGGTTGGGTTGGGTGGTGGGATCATGGGATGGATTGGGAAGGGTGGTGGGATCATAGGGTGGGTTGGGAAGGGTGGTGGGATCATAGAGTGGGTTGGGTTGTGTTGGGTTTTGTTGGGCTGTGTGCAGTGGTGGGGTTGTGAGATGGGTGGTGGAATCGTGGGAAGGATTGGGTTGGGTGGTGGGATGGGTAGTGGGATAGCAGGATGGGTGATGGGATCATGGGACGGGTTGGGATGGGTGGTGGGACCGTGGCATGGATTGGAAAGGGTGGTGGGATCATGGGATGGGTGGTGGGGTCATAGGATGGGTGGTGGGGTCACAGGAAAGACGTGGCACCCCATAACCACATGATGGTGATGGATCCCCTTGGACCCATGATCTTGATGGATCTCCTTAACAACATAACCCTGGTGACCCCCCGTAACCCCATGACCCTGCTGTACCCCCACAACCACACAACCCTGGTGGACCCCCATGGACTCCTGCTGACCCCATGACCACCCAACCCCGATAACTCCCCATAACCACACAACCCTGGTATCCCCCATGACCTCATGACCTTGCTGGCCTCCCATGGTCCCCGATGAGCCCCATGATGACCACAACCCTGGTGACCCTCCCAGACCTACGACCTTGATGGTTCCCCATAACCCTGTGATGATGATGGACCCCAACAGCCCCATGACGATGATGGAATCGCATGACCCTGCTGACCCCCACGACGGTGATGGCCCCCAAGACCATATGACCTCATTGATCCCCCACAACCACATGACCCCTGGTGTCCCCCATGGCCTCATGATGTTGCTGGACCCCCATGGACCCCTGATGACCCCCAAGAGCAGAATGATTCTGACGGCCCCCCGTAACCACACAACCCTGATATCCTCCCTGCCCAGTCCCCGACCTGCCCCCCACCTTGGCGTCCCCCAGGAAGCGCGTGAGGCACAGGAACACGTGTCCCCTCAGCCGGAAGTGCTTCGCCGCGTACACGTCGGGCACGTGGGGGATGTCGGTGTGGGGGGTGAAGACCCCCCCGCTCCACCGGTACACGAGGGGTCTCCTGGCCCCCGAGCACACCACGAGCGCCGGGCGCCCGCCCAGCTCCAGGAACTCCAGGTGGGTGTCGCGGTGCCACGCCCGCAGGGTCTGGTGGGGGTAGAAGCCGCGCCCACCCCAGCGGAACACGGTGCTGGTGCCCCCCTTGGAGCTGTCGGCCACGCCCAGGTACAGGTGGCCCCCGAGGCGGGCGGTGGCCACGGCGTGGGGGCGACGCAGCCGCCCGGCCCCGAGGCTCTGGTGGCGAACAAAAGTGGCCCCAGGGCCACCAGAGCGGCGCCAGACCCAGGAACCGCCTCGGAGCTGGGCCACCACCACCAGGAGGGACCCTCCAAGGGGCAGGGGGTGGCAGGCCACGGGGGAGGAGCCTGTGGGGACAGCGAGGTTATGGGGGGTAAGGGGTTGGGGATGTTGGGGTGGTGGGGACGAGGCACTGGGGATTTTGGGGATGTTGGGAACACTGGGGACGTCTCTATGTGGACATTGGGGACATTGGGAACACGGGGGACATTGGGATGGTGGTGACAGGGCTATGGGGACATCGGGATGGTGGGCACAAGGCTATGGGGACATGGGGGACATGGGGGACAGTGGGGACATGAAGGTGGTGGGGATGTCTCTATGGGGACAGTGGGGACATTTGGGTTGGGGTGGTGGTTTTGGTCTCCTCCAGCCCATTTTTTAGGTTCTTCACCCCATTTTTTGTGGTCCTTTACTCCATTTTTGAGGTCCCTCACCCCATTTTTGGGCTCCTCCAGCCCATTTTTTAGGTCCTTCACCCCATTTTTTGTGGTCCTTTACTCCATTTTTGAGGTCCCTCACCCCATTTTTGGGCCCCCCTCAGCTGATTTTGGGATCACCCCACCCAGGGTGGGTTTTGGGGTCCCCCCAGACTCACTGTTGATGATGGTGGGGGCCTGGAACCTCCCGGCCAGTTGGTCCCACTCCAGGAGGGCGCAGGCGCCGGCAAAGGGCTGGGCCAGGGCCACCCCCTGGTGCCCCCCCAGTGTGAAGGACTCGGCCCCCAGGGATGAGAAGGGCAGGGACTGGAATGGCCGGAGCTCTGGGGACACAGGGACATGATGGGGACACCAAGGGGACAGCCCAATGCCACCCCCAGGGACATGGAGACATGCCAGGGCCACCCCTGTGCGAAGGAATGGGTGTACAGAGGTGAAGAGGGCGGGGACTGGAACGGGCAGCACTCCTGGGACAGGGGGACACTGTGGGGGTGCCATGGGGACATCGTGGGGACAGCCTAGGCACAGCGCCAGGGGCGTGGGGACACACTGGAGACACCCCCCTGCCATCCCCGGGGACATGGGGACAGCACTGGGACATGCCTGGGGACATGGGGACACCCCAGAGGACAAGCCCGATGCCACCCCCCAGGGACACCACGGGGACACCCCAGAGACATCCCCAGGGATGTGGGGACACCCCATGGACACTCCAGGGACAGGAGGACACCCCAGGGACACCCTCAGGGACACTGTGGAGGCTTTTGGGGGACACTTTGCTGCCACTCCCAGGGACACCATGGGGACACTCGGGTTCCTTGGGGACACTTCGGAGGCTCTTGGGGCACCTCAAGGGCACTCTGGGGACACTGGGGATGCTTTGGGGACATTGGGGTCCCCAGGTGTGTTTGTACCCCCAGCCCAGGGTGTCCAGTCCCCTCCCAGTCCCTCCCAGTGCTCCCAGTTCCCACCTGCCCGCTGGCACTGGAAGTCCCGGGGATCCAGGTGGGCGAGGGGGGTCCCTTGGTGGGGGGAGGGGCTGTGGCAGCTCCCGGTGGCTTCAGGGGAGGAGGGGACTGTCCCCAGCCAGGACAGGAGCCACCGCAGGTGACAATCACAGCGGAACGGGTTCCCCCGCAGGTCTCTGCGCCACCAATTGTCACCAAAGTGTCACCAAAATGTCCCCAAATGCCACCAAATGTCCCCACGTGCCACCAAATCCTCCAAATCCCTTCAAGTCCCCCAATGTCCCACCAATGTCCCCAAGGTACCCCAAAACCCCCAATGTCCCCAATGCCCCCCAAACCACCCCATGTGCTTCATGTCCCCCGTTGTCCCCTTGTCCCCAATGTCCCAAACACACCCCATTCCCCCCATCTCCACACCCCCAACATCCCCATCCCCTCAGTGTCCCCAATGTCCCAGCGTCCCCCCATGGCCCCAAAGTCCCTACACCTCCCCCAATGTCCTGAATGTCCCCAACATTCCCCCAATGTCCCCATCCCCCAATGTCCCCATTGTCCCCACACCTCCCCCAATGTCCTGAATATCCCCAGCGTTCCCCCAATATCCCTATCTCCCAATGTCCCCAACGCCCCATCGTCCAATCCCTGCAACGTCTCCGATGTCCCCAATCCCCCCAACACTCCCAGTTTCCCTCCCTGTCCCCAGTGTCCCCCAGTGTCCCCCAGTGTCACCCACAGGTGGCTCAGGGTCTCCAGTCCCTGGAAGAGCCCCCGAGGCAGCGTCTCCAGGCGGTTGTTGGCCAAACTCCTGGGGGGACATTGGGGACGTTGAGGGGGACACTGGAGGAACATCGTGGGGTTTGGAGGGTTTGGGGACACTTGGGGGCGCTTGGGAGCAGCTGGGGACAGGGAAATGGGGGCATTTGGGGACACCTGGAAGCAGCTGGGGACATGGGGACAGGGACACAGGGACAGGAACATGGGGACACTTGGGGACAAGGACGTGGGGGCATTTGGGGACAGTGGGGACATTGGGAACACCTGGGGAGCCTTCTGGACAGGGACATGGGGACACCTGAGGATGCCTGGGGACATTTGGAGACACCTAGGGACAACCAGGGACATGGGGACACATGGGGACACCTGGAGATATTTGAGGACACCCCAATGTCCCCAATCCTCCCCAATGTCCCCCATGTCCCCAGTGTCACTCACAGGAACAGGAGCCCCCGGAGGCCCCGCAGGGCGGTGGGTTCGATGGCCCCAACCTCATTGTCCTCGATGAACCTGCGGCACCAGTTCATACCAGTTTGTACCACTTCATACCAGTTCTCACCAGTTCACACCAGTTCAGCTCGGTATCTCCCCCCCAGTACAGCCCAGTCCCTCCACACTTCCCCCAGTTCCTCTCAGCACAGCCCAGTTTATCCCAGTCCACCCTAGTCCCTCCTCAGTGTCTCCCCAGTCCAGCCCAGTTCATCCTAATCCAGTCCCTCCTCAGTGTCTCCCCAGTCCAGCCCAGTTCATCCTAATCCAGTCCCTCCTCAATGTCTCCCCAGTTCCTCCCAGTCCCTCCTCAGTGTCCCCCCAGTTCCACACCAGTCCCTTCCAGTCCATTCCCAGTGCCCTCCCAATCCCCTCCCAGTCCCCCTCAGTCCCTCCCAGTCCCTCTCACAGGTACTCCAGTAACACCAGTCCAGCAAAGGCCCCGTCCCCGATGGTCCCCAAGCTCCCGGCGGTGACCAACCTGTGGGGACACCCCAGGGACACTTTGAGGACACTTTGGGACCATTTAGGGCCAAGGAGGTGACATTTGGGGCCATTTCAGGACTCTTGGGAACACCCTGGGGACATTTGAGGACATTTTGGGATCACTTTAGGGACACTTTGGGACCACTTGGGAACTCCTGGGAACACCTTGGGGACATTTGGGGACACTCAGAAGACATTTGGGGACATTTGGAGACCCTCTGGGGACACACTGAGGACACTGAGGGGACCTTGGGGATGTCCTGGGGATATCTGGGGACACTGAGGTGACATTTGGGGACATTTGGTGATACTTTGGGGCCGTTTGGGGCCATTAGTGACACTTTCAGGACATTTTGGGGACACTCTGAAGATACTTCAGAGACACAGAGGTGACATTTGGGGCTATTTGGGGCCATTTGGGGACACGTTGGGGACATTTGGAGACACTTTGGGGACATGGGGACAGATTGGGGACACACGGGGTGACATTTGGGGACACTTTGAGGACATTGGGGTCACTCACAGCAGCTGCAGGCTCGGGGTGTGGCGGAAGCTGCCCTCGGCCAGGACCTCGATGTGCCACCGAACCAGTGACCTGGGGGAACTGGGTGAACTGGGAGGGACTGAGAGGGCATTGGGGAGGGCTGGGAGGACCAAACTGGGCTAAACTGGGGAAAAAGGGGTCAAACTGGGCTAAACTGAGGGAAAGCAGGAACAACCTGGGCCAAACTGGAGTCAAACTGGGCTAAACTGAGGTTAAACTGGGAGAAACAGGGACCAAACTGTGCTAAACTGGTCCAAGTCAGTCCTAAACTGGAGCTAAACTGGGTCAAACCAGTATCTGACTGGGCCATACCGACCCCAGTCAGCCCCAAACTGGTCTAAACCAGCCAGAAACTGGGCCCAGCCCCGCCCATCCCATGCGGGGGAGGGGCTTCGAATGATGACATCACAGCAGGGGCGGGGCCTCAGGGGATCATTGGGTGTCCCGGGGAGTCCCCACTGGGGGCTCACGGGGTGGGGGTTCAGGGGGCACCCCAAAAGAGGGAGGTCGAAGGGGGGTCCCAGAAGGGGCTTTCCCATGGAGGGAGGTGGTTTTAGGGGATCCCAGGGGTGGTTTTTTGAGGTGGGGCCCTAAAAAGGGGGGAAAGGGGGTGCCCAGAGTGGGAGGGGTAGCAGGGGAGTTTTTGGGGAATCCACAAGGAGGGGTCACAGGAGGGTTCTAGGGGTGCCCCCCAAAGAGAGGGGGTCGCAGGGGGGACTCAGGAGGGAAACCACATTAGGGGTGGTCCCAAAGGGAAGAGGGGATAAAAGGGGAGGGTCCCCAAATTGGAGGGGGGGGTCACTCACAGCGTTGCCAGGCGGGGGGGGAGCCCCCGGGGGACCCCCCCGGACCCCCCCCGGCACAGGGCGCTCTCCCGGTCGCACTCGCAGCCCCCCGGGCAGCCGCCGCCTCCCCGGAGGGGTGTCCCAAACCCACCCCCCCACATCGGGACCCCTCCCAAGCCCCTCCTCACCCCCAGCAGCAACAGCAGCACCAACGCGGCCCCCCCCGCCCTCATGGAGCCCCTTCAAATGCCTCCCCCCCCAAAAGATGCCCCCAAAATGATTCCCCGCAACTGGTCCCCCCCAAAAAGCCCCCCCTAAAATTGCCCCCTCCGAAACTGCCCCCCCTCAAAAGACCCCCCTACAACTGCGCTCCGAAACTCCCCTCCCCGAACTGAACCCCCGCAAAAAAAAACCCTAAATCTTCCCCCTCAATGCCCCCGAAACTTCCCGTCCTCGAAGGGATCCCCCCAAGAGACCCCCCTTAAATCTGCCCCCCGAA